ATAAATAGATGGTTCAAAGATAGGCAGATTAAATATGATTATCAAGAAATATTTATAATCTAAACTTTATATAATTTTTCTGTAAGCAATTATTTCTATTTTACTCGTTATAATTTTCGTATAAATTAGATAAAAATAATGAAAGCAAAAAATATATTTAAGACCAGTAGTATTCAATATCACGAAGGTTTCATAAATCTTTAATTGGATCGAGAAACTTTTTATCAACATAAATTTTTCATGCTCTTAAATATAATTTAATTTTCAAACCGATTTCACCGATATGATCTCCGATAGAAATTGACAGGAATTAATTTTAGATAATATCAAGTGGATCTTGAGAAAATTATGACTATTGAATCTTTAAAATAAATCTATAATTATACCTATATAGAGGAGAAGATGGTATTATTATTATGGCACCCCAGTTACATGTTACACAATAATTTTGTTAATAATCAATATTTAAGTTTAAAATTTGACAATTACGTTCATTAAAATGTTGTTGAATCGATTCTGGACTCAAAGTTACGAAATAATTATTACTTAGGATACTATTAATAAAAATGTGGCGACATTGCATAATGACTCTAAGAAAAAAATGTGTGGTAATGTAGCCTTCCACATTCCTAAAAATATTAATTTTGTTTAGAAGATAGTATTTGGTTACAAAATTAACAAAAAAGTAAAACATTTAAAAATGTAACGAATGTATATACATTAACATAACTTCTGCATATAAACTGCTCAGTACTAAAAATCTCAGTACTATAAAAATAGTACACGTAATATAAACTACAGATTAATAGTAGAGCCATCAAATAATTATTTTGATATAAAAACCTCAAAAAAGAGTTCGTTAGTAGTCAATATCCATAGAAGGCCACATTAGCAAAATGCCATGGTATGATTTAAATTTGCATAACTCAAAATATAGTCAAATAAAATGTTAAATAGCAAATAACACATTCAAAAATACATATATTCATATGATATGCTCAAGTTTAAAAAAATGAAGGGGGAAGTAGGTGTAATTAAATGCTAAAGTGTACCTCAGAAACGTTTCGAAATACTTGAAAGTAAAAATGCGTTATAATAAGTGCTGGTTATTGAGTATTGGTAATATTAGCGTCATGGTGTAACGGCGAGCTACTGAACTAATAATTCCATAAGTAATCATTAGGATTCGCTATATAATAGCGGAGATGTTAAGGGAGGCCATAATATATAAACTGGCCATAATACCACCTTCTTCTCTACATATATATATATATATATATATATGACAAGTATGCACACAAAAAAAATAATTGCAATATGAAATTACTTAAAAAAAATTTTCATAATTTTCAATTCTCGATACAACAAAAATGTAAACGTACATTTTATTCTAATGTTTGCAATTGTATTAATGCGAATATATCGATTAAATATCAGTTTTACAGCATCAAAATCTGAACTCACTATAATAAGAACGGTTTCAACCCTTGCCTGAAATCCTTATTTCCTCGGAAAAATCGAACGTTTCTACGTCATCAGTCATAGTAGCCAGGCTTATAACATTGTCTCTCTCTCAACGGCTAATCGAAAGTGACCGGCGCTGTGCCTGTTCCGCGAAATTACGGTTGAAGTCTATTTTTTATGAGATACAGGGTTCAATATCTCTTAGCTTAGAGACCAGTGAAGTTCCGCGTGCGTCGTGAAGTTTCACACTGGCGAATTCCCTGTAGAACGGCGCGCTTTAAAGTTATTAACAACGACTCAGATCCCACAAAGGGACTTCGGTATCAAAGTGAAGTAGATATAGGTACATTTCACCCGTGAACGACCGCACGAAAGAGAGAGACGAGGGAAAAATTCACCTAATGCCGCGATTACACGAAATATCGATTTTATTTTTCTTTTACTCTACGAGCCTTCGTGTATTAGAAACAAACATATTTCCTATATATTTATATTTTTTCGAAACAATTTGTAGCACAAAAAATTCTCTTATTTAAATTTTTAATATTATTTTGTAATTTGCCTCTGTAACTTTCGCATCCCCGGGAGACACATCCTTTCATTTGCTCGTGTATAGAAATTCAGGCCAATCGATGGGTCACAAGACCCTTAGGGTTTCACCGGTTAGGTTCGTTAATCTCAATCGAGGACCAGAATCACCACAAAGGATAGCATGTATCGAATATCCTGTCCATCCACGTTGCATCATGAATCGGGTTTCCCCAACGATGCATCGAAATATCTCACTCGCGTCTGCTATTTATAAACTAAATTATTTACTTAAATTTCAAATTAATCTAACTTTAATAGTATCCAGACTTGAGAATTAATTCTCAAAACATTAAACTATAAAATTGCTTAAATAGTGATTTTCTGTAACATTTCTATTAGAAAAGAATGTCTTCAATTTTACATTTAATTACGTTTAATGCTTTCCTAACTTAACTAATTATTACACAACATTAACTGCCATAAACTGTTTGTAACTGTTAGTAATTTTATCGTCCTGATAAAGACAAGAGTATAATCACAAATATTGAAGGACTCAAAGAGTTTGGACTACATAAATAAAGAGAAAGTTGGAAATTTAGCCTTCGTCGAAGTGCTCCTGAATAGTCGCATGATAAAAACCTGGAGAACCACAGTGAACGCACAAAGGAGAAGTTTTCATTTGCTCAATTCTTTCTGCTCACGTTGAATTCGAGTCGATGTTATTTGACCCATTTTAAAAAAGCGATTTTGTGTTTCGATAGAAAACGAAGTTTTTATCATAGTGATATCACCAGGGATTATACAATCGGAAATATTCGTTTGCTTCTCTCTCTCAGTTCGCGAATATTTGGCAAATATTCTGTCGACATAAAAATCGAGAAACCAAAATTACTTCGTTAAAGATTCTGTTTTGTGCGTATTGTATTCTGCGTATTGTTCATTATATTTTAACAGTACGGAAACTAATAAGCACTATATAAATGTATTATGCATCACGCGAATTGTAATCACGCGAACAAAAACTTCCCGATTAATTTAACTGATTATAGTCTGCGAGACAACATCGGTACATTTTAACGTTTTTATAAACTTCTGTGTCGTAGTTTATTACGCAAATTTTCCATTTAATATTAATCAATTAATTTTAATAAAGGGACTGAATAGCATGCTGTAAATCGACATTAAGTGCCATGATTTATTATTCTATAATTTAATGTAATAACGTAAAAATATAACGTACTATGAATATTTTTACATTTCAATATATAATAAAACAAATAACAAAACACGAGTGTATATAAATTTGCATTACAATTTTTAAATGTTAATAGTCCGAAAAACTTCTTCAAAGATTTCTTCAAAGAAAATAAAGTATGGCAAAATGAAGACGTTGTTTCAAGCAACGCATAACAGTTCGTTGGTTTCATTATGAAAGGTTTCCGACTGTTCAAAATTTCAGCTTTCGAGATAAACCGCAACCGTCCCGAGAGTCCATGAGCTCAGATACCGCGCCACTAAGAGGAGTAAATCGCGCTCTATTTCCGGAAGTGAAAATCGTCTATCAACCTCCTGGGAGTGCGTTCGAAAACTTTTAACTGAGACACAACCTTTCGTCTGCTAAGGAATTTACAAAACTCATTGAAAATAAATGCAAATTGCTCGCTTACAATTTATGTACATTTATATATTTAGTAAGTTATTACTATATATAATATGAATTTTTGCTTAATACGAAATAACGAGAAAGTCTTTATTTAGTTCCCGATTAAACATAATTTTGTCAGAATTTCTCACTATAAATTATGCGAACTCTTTTTAAAATTTTAACTATGCGTCTAATTAGGAGATTAGACTTGGAAGATAAAACATTTAATAGATAAGACATGCCTATTTTAATTTTTTGTATTATATATGACTTTTTGTACGATTACAACTTCGCGTCACGTTCATATAATTTCTTTTTTACGATGACAACAAAATACGGCGGATTATATGTGTACATATATATATATATATATATATATATATAGGGTTCCATATGGATTTCACATTTATTCAAATATTCCAAATGTAAAAATATATACATATATATACTATATACATATATTTACGTGAAATATTTAAATGTTGTATAATAAAATTGTATTTTCAAAGCCCTATTTCGCGAAGAAAATAAAAACTCGAAGAATGAAATTGTCATAACGAGCATTCCAAATCCGAAATAACCCATATATTGAAGTAATGAGTATATAGTAACAATTCCGCTTTCCTGTAGACTTTCTATATCAATTCACGAGAAGTTTCACAAATATAGAATGTCGTCGTTGTCAGGTGAGCATCGATGTATATTGTATTATTCAATACAGTAACCAGGTATCATCGGACAGTGAAACTGCATTCCTAGGTAGATATTAGATTCCAAATGTAGACTCTATGTTTCGCGATATCGACCGTATATCTACTTTCACGGTATGTTCTCGCCTTTCAAATTAATAACACATTTATGTAAAAAGTAACAAGTTAATCTTATAATCAATTTACATTTCTTTAAGATCCAGTTTTATCAACGTAAGATTAACTTTAGTCTTGGTTTAACTAACTGTTTATCTTTTTCTAATTCTTAGAAAAAACAAATTGAACCGAGATTAAAGTTAATACCAAGATAAAATATAGATTAACTTTAATCTTAATATATTCTTCATCTTTTTTTAACTCTTAAAACTAGAAAAAAATAAAGAACGAGTTAAAGCAAGATTAAAATTAAACTGCATTGATAGAAACGGACATAAATCACAAATTGAGCTCGATGATCAAATTGATTGATAAAAGAAATTTGAATGACAAAATTTCGACAATTGACAATTATTTTCCCGTTGAATATATATATCGTATAACTATCGCGTTTGCGCCATCTACTTTAATATTTATTATCTGTAAATACATATGTAAAATTTTCAATCACATAATACGAAAGTTTCAACGGAAATTTCGACAGAAACATTTACCTTTGGCGATATGATCTTGAAAATGCACCTTGAACTATGAAGAAATCAAATATTTCTTCTTTCTGTTTCTCTTTTTCCTACTGGTTTTTTTTTTATATTACACGACCGAGGAAAAAAGGCCGACAAAGGAATGCGATCCTTACCCGCGAAAGCTCACCACGTGACTGACGGGAATAGGTGTATCCGTCGCTGCCGGGAAAAGCCAAACAGAAATCTCCTCACCGCGCAGACTCGTTGGCGGATGGAGCACGTCAAAATAAAGTGAGACACGCGTATGTTTTTGGATTTATCTATCTTAGGGCGGTATTCATAGTCCTTTCTTATTTTAAGACCGTCTTAAGTAATGAAAGATGCTAATGCAGTCCCATAATTGGCTTATAACATCTTAAGACTGAAGACATCCTTAAATATAAGAATCGACTATGAATACCGGCTTTATAGTTGTGCTACATCTCAAATTTTTCATTTGAATTGCTTTTAGAAAGCCAAAGAAAATGCAAAGCAACAGAGACTCTCTTAATTGTGACCTCATTACTTCCGAAAGAGAAAAAGATAAAACGCCGATTTATTTTATTATTTTTGAAAAACATGAAATATGCTTACTTTTGGAAATCGCGAAAAAAGAAATGTTTGATTAATATTGATACAATTATTTAAAGACACTTTGTTGCTATTTTTGCCGTATTTATGTATATATCGCATATAGCGTCAACCCTCTCTTCCGTGGAAAAAAATGTTATCTTCTAACGATATCCTAACAATGTTTGTCGAACAATTCGCAACTGTTTTGCAATAAAATTCTTTCTGAAATAATTTAGTTAGATTCAATGTAAGATCATGAAAAGAATGAAAAATATAACAATTTGTCAATTTTAATTAATATCTATATTACCTACAAAATTATGAAAAAAAAAACAATAACACCCGTAAAATGATAATTTGGAATAATTTCAAATTATAATTATAATTATAATAAAAATTAAAAATTATAATTATAATTATAATTTGGAATAATATCATAATTTGGAATAAAAATTTGAACCATGCATGGTTCACTTTTATATTTATTATAATTTATGTCGACATTAGTATACCTACTTAATAAACATTTATAGGTATACGTAAAGAATAAATATAACGAAGTAAATTATTATACAAAGATTTTTTGCATAATAATCAAAAAATGATTACAGAAAAGAGTATTATAGAAATGAAAAATGTGTGGGGGAAAAAAGAAATTGATAGAACTACGACAAACGGTTATGAAGCACCATCTAGCGTCTACTAACAAAATTTACTTTTTAGCTGTCGATAAAAAATGTTTAAAAAATCCTTGCTAATATAAATCCTTGCTATATCACAGTTTTTTCAAGAATAAAAAAATTCAAGAAAAATAATCAAATGATTGATTAATATTTTTTCATATATTTTCTCTAATTTATTGTGGATGACGTTTTAATCACTTGCCACATGGCGGGGAAAAAAGGCGGGAAAGCATCAGCTGGTCAGTATCATGGCGTAGAGCTGCACGAAGAATGATTTTTATCTGCTGTTTTGTTTCTTCATATTTCCTATTATTTGTCGTAAGTAAACGATATGTCACAAAAATCGAGAAATATCAAATGCTATTGTTTGCAGACACGACCTAACGCACACAGTGTTCTCCACGTGTGCTTAATTTATGTTTACCTTCTTCACTGTGCAGCTACAAGTAGACCACCGTAAGTTCGAGAATGGATTATAAGACACGCCGACGTTACACGGCTGTTACGGATGTAAATGATCTCAACAATGATTATCCTCACGACATACAAATGTACGATGTGCCGCCGGTCGGTGAAATATCGCTGGAAGAGTTTCAAGACCTGGGATTTGATAGACTGAAAGGTAGCCTTCTTTCTATGCTTTTATATTCAGTCATTGATATTAGACGTTTTGTCCAGCAAAAATATAGATGATTCAGTAAATCATTATATTCTTGTAGTTTGCTAATGTTAAACAAAGATGAAATGATTGTGGATATTTTCCATTTAATGACAAGTCTACACAAGTATCGTTCCATCTTTGTTACTTATTGAATGTCACAGCCAAAAAAAAATATTCTGCCATTTAGCGGTTCTGTGTTAATGTCAAAGGATTTTCCATTTATATATGACCTCAAGAGAATACTCTACAAAATAAAGGAATTTCGTATAACCCTAAAGTACTGGATTTAGGATTACGGTCCTTTGAATACTAGAAGAATGTCTTGCATGTACTGACGTGCACGTGTATTACTGTAGCACATAAATGACAAACCTCTTCTAACAAGTAAGCGTGCCGCTAGTATTTTGTGTATCCTTTTATTTCAAAATTCGAGTTATTATAATAGATTTTTCTATAGAGGAATTTATTTTTGATCATAGCTCATATGTCCTCATTTTTATAGATGAATACATACACACACCTGATTAATGTAAGATTAATGTAAAATTTTTTGCTTAGAGAGGAAATGCTAAGAGGAATTCCCCGCTTATCGACAGAATATTTTTTTGGGTGCAAGAAAGATAGAATGATATTCATGTCGATTTGTGCCACTAAATGGAAAGCATCCTGCATTACACTGTATATCCATTATAATTCTATATTGTACAATCGATTTTGTTGCAGCGTTACGGTTGGTAGAGACAACGAATTGTAGAAGTGATCTGAAAACGCAGGAAGATCGCAAGAAAGCCTTCGCCGAGTGTCTGAAATCTGATGGATTGAAACACTATGCAAATCTCTTATACGCTGATGGGTCCAATCCGCAGTCAGAGGAGTATTCACAGATCAGAAGGAAAGATCACATATCACATTTTATCTTAAGACTAGTGTACTGCCATGACGTCGAACAAACCAAGTGGTTCCTTAATCAGGAAGTTGAATTCTTCAAATTAAGATTTAGCTCTTTAGATAAGAAGGGCATTGAGCGTCTATTAAGTATTACCAACATGGATTGTATATCTGTATGTTTCATTATACTTTAATAAGAGATTAAAAGATAACATATATGTTTTAATCTGATCATTAATGTTTCTTAAGATTTCACAAGATGAAAAATTTGAAATGAAAGAAGAGCTTACTTTGTCATGTGGAAAAGTTACGAATATTGATATTGCTGATATTTATAAAGTGCCTTTTGAGAAAGTCATTGATTTGATCAGAGGACGTAAAGTATATCTCAAAGCAGGGATAGCATATATCACTCATATGGATCTAAGTTCTGTGTTTGTCTCCTATCTTAGAGAAAACCTAGTTACAGGATTAGCGGTAGGATATAGCCTTTGTTAGTTTTAAAGTAAGATTAGATTTAATTCAATTATTTTTTAATTCAAATATTTTTTATATTTTGCAGAGTGCAAAAATTCTGTATGATAATATATCTGATGACGAAAGATTGACTAAATATTTAATAGGTCTTCCTGCAGCCTTCTCTGGAATGGCGCGTGTCGTATGGTCAACTACAGCAACACCTATTGATAAACTAAATGATGTAAATCAATTATTATTTTAGTTAAGAACTCTATTTTCTTAAGCTTATCTCATTTAAAATCTGTTAAAAAATTTTTATAGTTATCAAAGACATCATATCCATTATGTATGAGAACACTTCACGAAGCACTCTGTACCAACAGCCATTTAAAAAATTCAGGGCGCATGCAATATGGATTATTCCTAAAAGGTATAGGTGTGACCTTAGAAGATGCTCTTCGTTTTTGGAGAGATGCATTTTCAAAAAAGGCAGATGGGGTTGCATTTGAAAAAAAATATGCGTACTCTATTAGGCACTATTTCGGTAAAGAGGGAAGGCAGACAAATTACACTCCATATGGTTGTCAAAAAGTTATATCTAGCTCTGTTGGGCCTGGAGAATACCACGGATGTCCGTTCAGACATATGGATCGCGATTCGCTTTGCCAAAAGTTAACCAATTGTGGCGTATTCGCCTCTAGTAAGATTATTGGTTTTGTCACTATTAGTGACAATTATTAGTAAAAAAAATCAGGATTGTCCTTTTATATTCAATTTTATATTAATTTATTGTAGATATGACTGAAATATTAGACTTGGCTAAGGATGGACAGTATCACTTAGCTTGTGCCAAGTATTTTGAAGTCGTGCACGATAAACCAGCAAGTAAACCACTTTTACATCCAAATGCATACTTTGCTGAAAGTCGTGCAATTTTAACCGAAGACGATGGTAAAGGTAAGAAAAAAAAACATTAAAAAAGAACTTTAGTATTCGTATTAATATATATAACATTTATGTATGTGTTTCATTTGCAGATATAGATAAAGAAAAATTCTCTCAAAATACGGTTGGAACTCCTGGAAGTCTATCTTCAAAGAGGAGTGATAAATATCCTACACCTTCTAGAAATACAGAATTTTCTGGAACGCCAAAGAGAAATGATAGATATGCTACACCAACGAGAAATAAAGATACGATCAACACACCTTTAAGCAAAGATCGAAAAATGAGTTATGAAACACCAAAAAGGAATAAAATGACGCCAGTAAACATCGCAGAAATGTTGAACGACGATGATTTTACAGAATTTATGGATGTAGACATGGATCAGAGTTAACAAGTAGCATTCTGTCTTTCTGTATTATAAATCTATTTATATTTTTTATTCTATTTATCCAATATCAATAGTAATCAAACTTAATCAAAATTTTTTAATAAATACTGCTTATATATATAATACTAATCTTTAGATCTCTAACTTTCATGATCCATAACTTGTAATTATACGACTATTTACAAAAAATATTTTGAGTAAAAGTTGATTAATTAATTTTTAGCGTAAAAAAATCCAACTAACTGCATTACTGTTTTAATAAGCTGCTATTTAAAATTTCAAAAATACTCTTCACTCATTTTCGAGAGGATTTCGAACATTCAATTATGGTGCATTTAAAAAGCTTTGTAATCGAAAACCTGTATTTTTATCCGATTCTTGAGATATCTGTTATATCTTATTGCTGTTCTACTTAATTCATGTATGAAAATACAAATGAATTATTTTTATAATAAAATTAATTATTGACTTTTTACATTTGAAGAACTACAAGGAGTCGAATATATTGAATGTATAACATGGATTGAAACAATAAGAATCTCATTTTTGTGGACCGTACATGTGAAACACAATTGATATACTAGAAGCCTATACCGGTCGAAGCTAGATCTTTTAATGCTTTAAATAATTCAATGTGAATTATATATGTACTCTTGCATATATACCATATTTGTATAGTCCTTCAAACTGTGCACCGAATTGCTTAGTTAAAGCATTAAAAGATCTAGCTTCGACCGGTATAGGCTTCTAGTATGTCAATTGTTATAACATAGAAGCTCTCAAAACACACATCAATTGAAAGAAGTCAATTATGTATAATTTTTATAGAATTTATACGTAGCTGTTGACTTCTTTCAGTCGATATTTTGGTAAAAAATTCGTGTTAACATCTTGCACCATTAACTCCACTAGCCTCTGTAGATCATATTTATGCTGCCATCCCCAATCCCGTCGTGCTTCGCTATCGTCGAAAACTTGCGGCCAGCTTTCCGCTGAAATCAACGTAATAACAGAATTTCTAATTTGAATATTTACATAATCGAATTACAGTATAATCTACAAAATACCTTTGGCGAAAATAACGCCTTTTTTACATTTAGTTGTCACAAGTTTCACCTCCTAGAAGCTTCGTTTACGCTTCTGTCACTCTTTACATTCGACTTACGCTCTAATTTTTATTTTCGCCAGAAATATTACCGTATATACGTACCGATATGCTGTCGTTTGTCAGGTTTGTAAGTAATTTTCAAATCCGGTATATATTTAAAGAGTTCATTAAACAATTCTTCAGGTGTGAAGCTCATGGCTGTAACGTTGTAAACTCGTCTACGCAATAATTTTTCAGGTGTATTCAAAAACTGAAAGAGCGCCGACAGACAGTCATCGATGTATATCATGGGCAGTCTTGTATGAGGCTCCAAGTAGCACTCGTATCTTTTGTTTAACAGTCCTTCATGAAATACCGCTACAGCGTAATCTACAGAGGAATAAAGAAAGCTAAAAGTTATTGTCAAATCTCAAATGTGTAACACACATACATTTTCAAATAAAATGAAGAAAGTAAAATTTACGGATAAATAAATGTAAACTTCATCTAATGATTATATTTGAACAGACTTTTTTAATTATAATTTAATAATTTATATTGTCAGATGGCTTATTTTTCTTATTATACGCTTTACAATTGATTTTTCTAAACAGATAATTTGCGATATAATAATGAATGTTCCTCTATTGATTCACGCAAAGTGCAGAAATGAGGATGATTAAATAAAAATGATGATATGTTTGTAGAAACAGGTTTTTTATCGATGTAGATAATATTGGCGATTTATGATAGATAATATTGACGCATTGGAAAATGAGGAAAAAAGACGACCAAGGATCGAGTCTCGCTATATTATTTGCCAGTAGCATTGTCCTTGAGAAACGATACGTTCTACCATTATATAGTTATCTTAAGCACGGTTAATGCTCTAGTTCTTCGCAAAAGAAGGTAAAATATATCAATTTTCAGTTATCAGCCTATTCTACATGCGGCATTAAGCGTTCTTTGAGCATGAATATGATTATCTTATTAGAAATCGGAAAACTCAAACACGCAATATTCGTTTGAAAAATATTTCATTTTACCCAACGAGAAATTATATCGATGTGCCGTTTAATTGATGATTATTTTTCGACGGATAATATTTCGCGGCAACGAATTCTTAAAGAAATATCAACAGATAAATGCAGTATTTAAAACAGCATGATGGAAAAAACGTGATGACTCATATTGCGCACTTAACGACAAATCCTATTTTTATAATGGTAAACGAATCGGATTATAGTGTATGCTTCAGAGTTGGGCACTATTCGAATAATTTTTTATTTAAAATATTATTCAAATAGAATTTTATTTATTATTTGCATTATTTATTATTTATATTATTCATTATTCATATTATTCGCCATTGTATTATTGATGTTTATTCATTATTCGTATTATTCTTCATTTGCATTATTCGCTACTTAGTTATTCGCTTTATTCGTTATTAGCATTATTCGTTATTGGTATTATTTGTTATTCGTATTTTTTTATTTTGTATTATATTGTTCCTAGAACACGAGCCTTTCACGAGCTTGTCACGAGGTCACTGTACGAAATAAAGATCCACATTCCAAATAATATCCACTCATTGTTAGTTCCTAATTGTGCGCTATAAGTTTCATACCAAGCTTCATATCTTCGTTTGGAGTCTAAACTTTGAACTACGTTTAGTGAAAAAGAAAGTTTAATAAAAAAAGATGGCTTGTTGTAAACAAAGGTTTATATGTTACTATGTTATAAAAAAATTTTATAACACATAATAACATATAAACCTTTGTTTACAACAGTTTATGTTATCTACATTATACTTTGCAATACACACATTAAATGTATCTATATATGTTGAATTATATATTATTCATTCGAATACATTGTATATTCGAATATATTTTTAATTCAAATACATTATTCCCACATGCACGAATATAAATGTTATTCGAATATAATTTTATTTTAGATACACAAAATAAATTTATATTCGAATAAAAAATTATTTTTTATTTATGAATAAGACTTTATTCTTTATTCGTTATTCTTTATTCGTAAATGTGCCCATCTCTGGTATGCTTACATACGTTGTATGTAAAGTGTATAAAATATATTCGCGCGTGTTTTGCTCATTTGTATCACTGTACATTAACTTCAATCTCGGTTTAACTTACTTTTTACTTTTCTCTAGTTCGAAACATTAGAAAAAGATAAACAAGAGTAAATTACACCAAGATTAAACATTGGCAGGAATGGATTGGACTGCCTTACATTTTCTTAAAAACACTATTAGTAGTTAAGAATGTATATATTAGATATACACAGTCTGCAAAAAGTACGTAGAGTCGAAATTATCCTTTCCGTTTAAAAATGAATGTTACATATGAGACAGTTCAATAAAATTAATATTTAATTTATATTTAATAATACAATTTCATAGTTTAAATGAAAATTTTCTCATTTTATTTTAGTTCTTTTTTAAAAAAACATGTCTACTTATTACAATTATTTTTTATTCGTGCTTTAAATCGCCGCTAAAATATCTGCATTACTTTCAAATACAATATAAAAAAATCTGTAATTTTTTATAATTTTTAATATATATTTTTTAATTATTTTTTTTTTAAATATGTGAAATACATTTTTAAATGTGCCGTCGGGATAAAGAAAAGGCGACATTCTCACCTGTAGTGCCGCCGCCAGGTGGATCGCTGCTGATTACACCGGGAAATCGAAGACATCGAAAATCTAGACCAAAGCGATGATGATAATACTCTCCTAAGAGTTCAGCGTGGACCTTGCTGACACCGTAAATCGTACGAGGTCGTTGCACCGTAACATTCGGCGTGGGATTCCTCGGCGAATCGGGACCAAATGCGCCAATCGTCGATGGTATGAAAATTCTCAGCTTATACTGTTTCGCTAATTCGATAACGTTGTGCATTCCTGTTATTTTGCGAAAAAAACTGATAATGAATTAATTGTATACAGTGTAAATAAATATTCACAAAGATTCTGAATGTCTTTAAAAGAATTCTATATACTGCCTTGGCCACACATAAGTATAAAACACCTCCACAAATTGATATCAACGTTTTATATGTAACAAAAATAAATTAAAAAACAATTTTATTGAAAAATATTTATTTAATTTTATAACAATTTTAATATTTTTGTCTCTCCTTTTATTGCTGCTTTTTCCTAAAAAATGCATTAAATTGAAGGTGCTTTATATACTTATAACCAAGGTTATAACTTCGTGCGACTTTTAGCTCAAGACGGTCTCGGTTCTATTTTTCAACCATGTTTTCATAAATTGTGATATCGCGTTTCGACTGCTATTTTGTGTCCGCTTTCTCCCGGACACTTTCTTCCCTTCATAATCACGACCGCATCATAATTAATATCGTAATGACAAATTCACTCGTCGGCACAACATTCCATTTCACTTTGAACGCAGTTTGCGGAAAACCACGATATGTCCTCGCACGAGAGGTTTTGCGTTCGATCAAATATTTAAAAAAAAAAACAAGAAGTAATTATATAAATGTTAAAGACACGCAATCTTGACATGATATAAACATGGATCGTATCGCTCTTCTTACCTTCGATATTGACTCTGACGGCTAGCGGTACGTTTTGTTCGCCCACAGCGCTAAGTAGAGCGCTGAAGTGGATGAGCCAGTCGATTCCATAGTCCACGACTATCTTCTGCAGACCCTTAAAGTCGAGGATGTCGGCAAAGATGAAAGGTCCGTTCTCTAAGCTCTCCTCCGATGGCTTGATAATGTCTGACAGTATGACATTCTCATTACCGTAATTTCGACGAAGCAACTTCGCGCATTCCGTGCCTAATTGTCCGAGACCACCTGAATAAAAATCGCACACGGCGTAAGAATTCGCTCGACGAAGAAAGCCTTGTGTTTTTCCTAATAAAACGTAGATATCAACGTTATCCTTGTAATACTTTTCTATATTCAAAGGACCGCGAAAATGCTTTCTGATAAAATCTCGAACTACGGCAAAGACATGCTGCGAGAACATGCAATTGCATTCACGTATGAAATATTCAAATATCATATTTTAAATCTGATCTGAGTTCTTTTAAGAAATGTACAATTAAATTAAAAACTTAGCAAGTGCGACATGAAAGTATAATGAAGAATAAGATGAATTATATTAGTAATTGATTAATGTTATCAATCTTGTTAAAAATAATTGCCGTTGCTTTTCAAATATCATTATTTTAAATAAAATTTTAAAAAATGAAAATATAGTGCATATTATCTTTACTGATATTACATTAATAGCACCAATTAAATTTATTGAAAAAGCCTTATTGGTCTTGAGCTGAATCTTATTATTAAATACTTCGGTGAATTTATATACATAGGTATGTAAACTATCGCCGAAATCATTTTCAATTCTAAAACGCAATCTTAAACTGAATTGAGTTAATAATCATAAAGTAAATTTAAATAAAACAAAGATAAAACTGTTTAAAGATTATTCACACACACAATCTTGATTATGTATCTCAAGATAATTAGGATTGCCTTCTTTCCGTAAATATTATTTCGTGCTGATATCATTTATCATTTTTATTTATTTTTTGTTTTTATTATTATATTACTTCATGCCTTTATATTATTTTGAATATTTCTGTCAAAATTAATGGCAATTAGGCGTGGGTCATTTTCAAAAGTTTATTCTCAAATTTAGTGAACTTTGTTTTGATTTAACGGTAATAAAATAGATCATCTGTTAATTTAAATCTGAGTTTATTCTGGATTTTCATACACGAACTTTCGCGTTGGAGTTTCACAGACAAATCCTTTGTTATTATCTCATGATCAGTCATGTAATCTCTTTTTTTTTTTAAAACCTATATATCTGTTTGCTCTTTAATTATATTTGAGAAGACTATAAATTTAAATTTTTTAAACCGAGCAAAGCTTTGAATTTTGTTTGCTTGCCCATGCAACCTTATAATGATTATATATAATATTTATTTTTATTAAAATCCGATACGCGTACCGATACACTACTATTGTGTATCTAGCTGTATTATCTATTTGTCCGTGAAAACGTAAAAACGTACGAAATGTACAATGAAATAAATGACATTTATGAAACATCGAGAATCTCTCTCTCTCTCTTTCTCTCTCTCTCTCGTTATGTTTTTTCTGTTTTTGCTTTTTCTTCTTCACCGTACAGTTGAGCCGATTTGTAGATATTACATTTACCTATATCTACTCCATAAGCAGACAACGTTAAAAATAATGAGTTAAGTCCCTTTCTTTTATTAAAAAAACGTTTAATAAATGTTAAATAAATGTTAAAAGAATGTTTAATGAAATTATTTTCTCAAATGAATAATAATGAAAAATTAATATTTACAAAGTATTAAATAAATACTTAAAAATGTTTACCTAAATCATTTTCTCACATGAATAACTCGTGAAAAATAAATACTTAAAAAATATTAAATACATGTAAAAAGCGTTTTTTAAAAAATATTATTTTGAATGAATATTTAATAAAAAAAATGTTAAATAAATATTTTTTCCGAAATATGTATTAAGGAAATGAATAATTAATGAATAAAAAACATTTAAAAAACATTGTCTGCTATTGAGTTATAAATATTTTAATTTTAATTACAATTAATGAATAAATAATAATAATTAACAATAATTATAATTTTTTATTAGTATTGAATAATGTGAAATAAATGTAAAATAAATGTCATATCAAATCATATTATTTAAAAAGATTAATTATAAAGTGAAATAAATAAAATGTTTTTTTAAATCATTATTTTAAATGAATAATTAATGTGAAATAAATATTTAATAATCGATAAATAAATGTTTAAAAAATGTTTCTTCAAACCATTATTTCAAATGAAAAATTATAATGTATATAATGTTTATTAAAAATAAACATTTAATAAACGTTAAATAAACGTTAAATTAATGAATTTTGAAAACGAATCATGAAAAATGTAAAATTAATGAGAAATAAACTTAATGAGAAATAAAATTAATGAGAAATAAAATTAATGAGAAATAAAATTAATGAGAAATAAACGTTTAAAAAACATTGTCTGCTGATTGGGTACATAATTCTCACGAATTCTTATATTTTACAGGATTGCAACTAGAATAGTGTGATGATGCAATCGCTACAATTCAAAAACTGATAAATAATTTGATAAATAATTTGAATAACATCAATATCAGTAAATTGCTTGTCAATTTAATTTGTAATATCCCAGTTCTTTTCAGAATTAGGTTTCAAAGTTGAAAATGATTTCGGCATGCAGTTTGCAGAATTAAAATACTATTTAAATATTAATATGTATGAGCTCAGACCAATAAAGCTCTTTCGTTATTTTACATAATTGTGTATGCTAACAAGGTGTCTTAAAAAATTGTTAAAATATTAATTGCGAAAAATATCACCTCAGTCAGGATTCCTCCCTACATTCCGTGAAGGACGTTTTAACCAATTCGACCACTAAAACTGTGGTGATATTTGTTGCAATAACTAATATAAGGCGATTTTTGGCGTGCTTCTGGTATAGCAACCAAAAGCAACCGCGGTTGGGGCCCATCTTTGTCTTCTGATCCCTGAAAACAAAGATAGCCCCAACTGCGGTTGCTTTTGGTTGCTATACCAGAAGCACACCAAAAATCGCCTATAGTAAGGAATGTTTGGTAAAGATATATAAAATAAACAAAGTGTCATAAGACTGCATGTACATACACGATACAGAACTAAGTAATCCCTAATAATCACACGTTTCCGGGATACATCTTGAGGATGTCCTTAGGATGTTCAATGGACATACGAACGTCCACAGGAGATCCCGAGGGGGTACTCACCTACGAAAGTGATTTCCGATTTCTTGTATTTATGGTTATTTCAATATGATTGCAAAGTGATTTTATTTGTTTTCCGACAGAATGTTCGAGACGCGCGACCGAGCGTACGACGATGTTTTTTTGTTCGATTTCAGATGATTTCTTGATTTCAATGAAGAATGTTTGACTGCCTCATTTTGTGAGTAGCTCCTCGGGAGATTCCCTGTGCTGTTAGGGACGCTAAGATCTTATTAACATCAGTAAATTGCTTGTCAATTTAATTTGTAATATCCCAGTTCTTTTCAGAATTACGTTTCAAAGTTGAAAATGATTTCGGCATGCAGTTTGCAGAATTAAAATACTATTTAAATATTAATATGTATGAGCTCAGACCAATAAAGCTCTTTCGTTATTTTACATAGTTGTGTATTTACGTGTGATCTTATGATATTTTGTTTTTAATTGTTGAATTATGTAAAATATGCTAATAGCGAGAACAAGTTTTAGCGAAAAAAAAAATGTTGTTTAATTACCTCATTAAATGTTATTTAATTACTTACCTGTTATTAGTATTCGTGGAGGTTTAATTGCATTTCCGGTATTGACGGACTCAACAACGTTACCAGATTCCTTGATTATCTTACGAAGAGGATTGATGGTTACGTGAAAGTCTCTTCGAACGTTTCTCGTAAAATAACAGGAAAATCGAGTAGCACTTTTACACAACATTATTCAAAAAAGCAATGCACCAAGAGTTTCGAAAAGATAAAAAATCTTGTTTCGATATTGTTCTTCTTATCGGTCTTTCTATCTAAGTTTCTATTTTCTATCTAATTGTAAACGATTTTTACACAACAAAATATTATATTAAGAGAAAGGAAGATATTCTGTTTGCACTATTTAAAAATATTCACTGTCCAACCCAAATGACTTTATTAAGAAACTTCGTAGAGAACTTAAGAATTTAATCTTTCCCCGTTGGTGGTCGATAAACAACTGGAAACTCGACTAATGATTGTACATTATATCACAGTCCATTTTCAAAACCAGTTAGACCACAGATGCTGTCTCACTAATATATTTAAAGGCTCCTTCACACGGAAAAAATATATTGCAGACAAGCAAAAGTTTATCATACTTATTAAAATATAGACAAACTGCATCTCCAATTTATTTCTTAAATGTTATATATACTGAAATGTGTTATATATACTATTCTCTCCGCTGCACAAGATTCCAAATTGCTTTAAAAATATTCAAATAATTTCCACCGTATCCGTTATCTCTGATTCCAGTTTAAAATTCCCAAAAACACATCTCGCAGAAGATTAGAGATACACTCAAGATTTTCATATCAATGCAAGACATGCTATATTTTATCAATCAGTGTAAAACAAAAAATATTTCCGCAAGAATTCGTGAAAAGAATAAACTGTGGCGTATATATACCCCAAATATAGTTGCACTTCTGCTCACATCTCAATGTAAACGAGTCTTTACGAAAAGAACTTTAAACATTTCTTAATCTTTTTCCTTTGTATGCAAACTCATTTGACAACATCATAAAGATTATGTTCTTTTGAAGGAGGCACCTATCGTTGAAATTATACTTATTTTAATTACAAAATTTTATTCACAGTGATATTTATATAAACACCATTAAATTTAATTTTATTGACTATTTTGTCATGGCTATTATATTTATAGTACTACTTATTTTTAGTTCAATTTAATTTTTAACAATATTTAAATTATGTTAATAATATTTAAACATACAATTTTGTATTTTCGTATTTTATATTTTTTTCTTAAATGTGTACTGTAAAATTTGTGTTTTTTAAAAAAATCGAGTTGAGATTCGAATTTAGAAATTTTTACTGAATTTATTTACCTATAACATTGTATATATATTGTTTGAGGTAATCGAAGGAGACTTGGTTAACGCAGACCAATAGTGAGGCAATTTTTTCATCGTACGATCCAAAACCGGTTTATTGCCTAGTCCTACATAACGAAAATAAAAATGCGAGGAGGTAAATAAGTCACTCGTAGATGCCATATGAATATCGAGATTGTAAAAGAATGTTTGATTCATTTATCGATACGCGAGCTAAAGCCTTGGGAATTTTAATCACAGAATCAATGATTTTACTTAATACACATTTTCATAAGATATAATGAAATGTTCCATAAAAAGAAAAAATTCACAGTTATACAGATATTTATAGAAATTAATGATATTTATAGCCAATATTTTTTGGATCACTGGTTCATTATGGAAAATAGTACAGATTACTGTGATATTTAACTCAAATTTTATTTGTTAGATATAAGATTTATTCGTGTTGCTTGCATTTTTTGCATTCAGAATCTTTGCCAGAATATATAGTATATTTATTTTGTTTTAAGTGTACAAATATTTTATTTGAGGATTTCAAGTAACGCGAACAAACTTACAATCATTGTTTATTTACTCCAGCCAGTTTACTAGTGCCAGTGATATCAGACTGCAATCGCAACAACATGGTAACAGCATGTAAAAGAACTACGCGATTCATTAACCATCGAACATAGCTACGATTATAAATACAGAAAGTGCAAGTCTTTAACTTCATAATTCTGAGCGTATGCAATTTTCTTAACATATATAGATAAATAATGTTAATATATTTCCTTAATTATCTTAAGCATATTTTATGGCAGCTCCACTTTTCCAACGATAGCATTGCAAATCTATAATATATATCCTAAATAGAACACAGAAGTCATGACGATATCATCATGATCTCATTCATCACTTATAAATCAATTTTTAAATAAGACGTCATGATGATATTCTGTGATTATGGCTTAAATATGACTCCGTGTTCTACCTATATATATTTCATATGGAAATACATATATATTTCATTAAAATTAATGTCTTTTACCCTTAGAAAATAGAACTTTAAGAAATACGTATAACGCGTACCATTAAAAATTCCACAACAAACATTTTTAAATTCTCTGATTTCGAAAAATCGTAATTAAGAAATCAATATGTCTCACACGCGGACATGGTTAAATAAAAAAAATAATAGCTGTTTATTTTCAAAAATATTGATAATTCGAAATCAGTTGAATTATTGAACATTTCCTTCTTGAATGGAAACAAATAAAATAGTAACATTTTTTTTATTGGGTTCCAAGAATAAATTGGGTGCCTCTACATAATTCGCAAATCGCAAAACGTAGTTCGCAAATGCTGACGCAGAATGACGAAAACCGCACGCAAGATACACACAGATGGAAACCAACCGCACACACACACACACCACCACAATGAAAAAAACATGCAAATTTTCATTCTGCGTTTGCGTTTACGAACTACGTTTACGTAGCTATGACTACGTTTACATGACTCGATTTACGCCAAATTTATAATATCGATGTTATGGAATTGGCCAATCATAGTCATTCCTCTGAAGAATGGTTTTGCGATTTGCGAATTATATAGAGGCACCTTGAAGTAAAATGTTTATGACCGGTATTCATAGTCAGATCTTATATTTAAAACCGTCTTAAGTTCGGTCTTGAGATGTCACGAACCGATCAGAGAGCCGCATTAGCGTTTTAAGACGTTACTTAAGACGGTCTTGAAACAAGAACCGACTATGAGTACCGGTTTATGATCCTCTACGGTGCGTAAATTAAACATTCATAATGCGATAAATACAATTCGTAAAATGTATCTATGCGAATTATATCTATCGCGTTATGAATATTTAATTTACGCATTAACATCCATAAAGACTCACATAGATATTTTACTTGTTTATTTAGATTTCCTTCCTGTTTTCACATATTTATTCGAGCGAAGTCAGTCGGGGCGCAATCGACCTCGGTTGCTTCACCATGCGTGCAACGCGGAAAACGAAAGGGAAGATGATTTTTTACCGATGCCGAATTATACCATTCGGCGATCGGTGAGATTTGTGGGGAAAGGGAAGAATTTCCTGGAAGCGTGTCTTCACGGTGGCTGGACACGCACTTCGCAATTCTTTTCCCGTCCCTCTCGCCATCACCCACGCCATGGCACCGTCATCTTCTCCCCTCAAGTTTGTGCAGGCCACCACGCTTTTGCGAACAGCTTCTTCAGTGCATTTAGTACGTAACGAGATCACGAAAAGCTGTACTCGTGACCGGAGAGACGTTGAAAAAGATAAGACGTGTGTGTGTGCGCGCACACGTGACCTCGTAAAAAATATATATTATTCGTTTTGTGTGTAAGAATCGAGTGCAAATAATTTACAAAAATCAAATTTAGTTTTTTTGGTGGATTTTTTTCTGATAAACGTAAAGTTCTTCAGAAGTAAGACTCTGATTTGGCGAATACTGCTGATATAGAAGGTAAATAAAAGTTTATAAACAAAAAAGTTTAAAGAAATTAAATAAATAAAATAACAAGCAATTGAGAGTAATAAAAGAGAAGCAATAAAACACAGTAATTCGTGCGTTATATTTGAATAACATGTATTCAAATATTTTTACATATAAATCTTATAAATACAACCGTAAAAGTTTAAAGATTGACATTATACGTAACTTTCTTTAAATAAATAAATTTCTTATTCTTAAAATAAATTTCTTTTTTGTAGAAGTTTATTTCTGGCTGTAATTGACTTGACATGTGTCGATGTTCACATCTACTGCCCTCCTTGTTTCACATACGTTGTAGATAAGAAAAAGGAAGGCAATAAGAGCATTGATACACATTAATGTCAGCAATTTAATAATCTTGATAACATAATATAAAAACAGCTTTTGTGGAAATAATTCATTTTTCATATATTATACATATAAACACATTTAAAAATTGTGATATATGAAAGAACATTTTAGAAAACATTAGAAATCTTATTTAAAATAGATTGCCAAAAATCCACTGCTTGATATTTATTAATGTTTTTTTTACTATGAACAATCTATGATATATAAACAGTATAGTCTTCCTTATGCAGTTGCATAATGACATAAAATTAGCATTTGCGATAGAAAATGAGATGTACGCTTGAGGTCACTGACGGCGAAATATCAAGGAAGTGAGTATCACTTTCACTAAAATTACAGCCATACCTCTTTGAGGCCAAACAAACGCTGTTGTTTGATCAAAATTCAGCTCATTGTAATGAATGTAATGGCATTGGAAGACAATTTATTGTGCGAGTTATGCGAGAAACCAGTGGCAGTATTTTTCAATATTTCATCTTTATTAATCCAGATAATATAAAGTTCGAAATCAAGACATAAGACATAAGTCTTAAAGATGCCTTTTAGACGTCTCTTTTTATTTGAATAATTCATTACATATAGTATTATTCTTATACTATACCCAGACAATACACGTGTCCGAAAATGAGACATTTCAAAGATATTTTTGTAAAAAACGTCTTAAGTCTTTAAGAGTAAATAATACATAAAGACGAAGTTATAGCATTAACGCGCTGCTTTAGTACTTAAGAGAACTTGAAGAAATCTTTAATAAGATACATAACCGTCAATATATACATACGAAGATAACGAGAATACGTAAATAAAATCGCAGAAAACGGCAATAAGAATAATATGTAATGAATTATTCAAATAAAAAGAGATTATTATCTGAGAATTAGTAGTACAAAGAAGGAGAGAAGAAAAGGAGCATAGCTAAAAAGTAACGGGTACAATAAATGATGTGCTCTGTTAATTAAGCATGTGACTCATTCTGCATAATTGTAATTTTATTGCTACCTCTAAACGTAATCAGTTTCGATGTTATATTACGAATTTATTTTAGGGCTCGCTATTATACGTTTAAACGAAAACACGTTTACACGTATAATTAGCATATCCATTTATTAGAATCGTTTTTCCGAATATTTTCACTTTTTTTTATATAAACGTTTATCCCTTTATTAAGGAGTGTGACGAATTGAGAAAATGCAAAAAATTCGATTTTTAATTTTATTAAAAAACGTTAAAATATTCGAAAAGATATTTTTCATAGATGGATATATTAAATATACATGTAAATGTATTTTCGTTTAAATGTATAATAAATGTATAATAAATGTATTATAAATGCAAAAGCTCCCATTTTTGTTTTAGAAAGCATATTTTTGCAACAATTATATTCTATTATTTGAGTTCAATTTCTTCAATCCTATGAAAGTGTCTTGAGATGCGGAAACAGATATATCAAGGCAGATCTTGTTAACGCAACACGTACAATGCAACTTAGATTCGTTTTATCGTGGATCGCGCTATATCGACATTATTCACGTACGAATGGTTTTTCAGGCCGCCCGATTGTTTCATCCTAAAGGCTGGCATATTACGAAATCTACGTTTTTCTGCATGACAGGATGTTTGGTGAACGCTTTTGTCTTTCTATTAAAATACACAAGTTTGCGTAAATTGATAGTTACTTTTTTTTCGCGATAATAATTACGCAAAATGTTACCTCAAAATATTACGCAGTAGTAACAAAAGCAAATAATATGCAGCAGAGAATAGAAACAAATGCTATGTCTTAACTTAATTTCACATATGTATGTACATGTATATTTGTATATATATTTGTATAATTACAATACATACAATTATACATATCTGATTTTATGTCACTTTGTCAGCACATAAAAATGTTATCCAACAAAGTACTTCAACATACAGTTTACTCAAAATATTACAATGTCCCCAAACTTTCTCTGTCTTTAAAGTGCGAATTTTTAATCTTAATCCGTTCACCCTCCAGTTTTATTCATCGGTCATCACTTTATACATCAGAAGCGCGCTCGCGCGACGACAATTATTACGGACAATGATTGTCCTAGCGGTCTTTAACTTCGCTTACGGTACGAGACATCAATTTTGTCGTCTGCGACCGTGACGTGTGTACATGCGTACACAGTGTGTGGCATCGCGCTCAAAATATAGAGGCGTATCGTGACATCCAAAAGCTTTTAACGTTTAAAATCCTACTAATCAGTAGTTGTTTCACGAGCGAGATTTCTCTTAATTTTAATCACGCATTCGTTATCTCGCAAAAACACTACGTAACTCCTGAGATGTTGAAATGCGACATTATTACTGTTATCATTTCCTTAATGAGTATTTTAGCAACAAATTGCATTTAGTGCCAAATTGCACCATAAATGTAAAAATGACTTGATAACTCGTGACAGACCTGAAAGAGATTAAAAAAGCCTTCAGTCTAAATTAACACGATTTAAAAAGATTTTATTCTAATTTATTTTATTCTATTCAACGTGTAAAATGCATATTCTAATTAAAGAGCTACATTCACATCTTTCTAATGTTAGATTTTTTATCCTTTAAAATTCATATTCGTTCGTTCGCGTGCAAATGCACGTGTATTTCAGAAAATGCGGAACTGGTACTCGCGATCGTAAACTACGGTCCCAATGCGCGATGGTCAGGTCGTCGCAGGGCGATGGGCTCTTGATAATCGGCTGGCTCCTGGCACTCCGTTTCATCGGTGCCGGTGCCCAGTTAGATCCAGATTACGGATGTCCGCTTCAAGAGAGGATACTGCCATGCAGATGCTCCATACGCGATATGGAGGTTCAGATATGGCAAGTTTAGACGGTCAGATATGTAATCCCGAGAATTACATAAACAATGTTGAACGCTATAAATTCGCACAGGTGTAGCCACAGCGAGTTACCAAAGGTACTGGAAGGTCTGCAGGCAGTGAGTCACTATATGGACCGACCGGTAGACGAGCTGATTCTAGAAAATAACAACCTGCCCAGTCTACCTGGCAAGGTGTTCGCAACTTTACGAGTTCTGCGCTTGATGCTGCGGAATAATCGTCTCGAAAGGGTATCCTCCGGCTGTCTACACGACTCCTTGCTGGAACTATTTATCGTTGAGTCCGATCTGCGATCTCTACCTGTAGACAGTCTGGAAAACTTGCAGGGTGTCGAGGCGATGACATTGCAGAGTCGCGTGATGAAGCGACTGCCGAGATTCTCTGGTCTGCCGAAACTAAGGTATCTTCAGATCAACTCTCCAGCCTTGCTAGAACTCGTCCCAAGGAACTTCCGAGACATTCCCAACTTGGAACAGTTACACGTGCTGGGTAGCCCCAGACTAACTAGACTAGAGGCTGGGCTTCTTCGAAGTCTGCCTCGGTTAGAACTGATTAACATCACTGATTCTGGAATCCATTGGATTCATCCACGAGCCATGATCAATCTACCAGAACTCAAGGAGATCTCGTTGGTTGGAAACGCCATAATTGACGCTGGTATGGTCGGTCGTGCGTGTATGGATCTCCCGTCGCTGTCAGTGATACGTCTGGATCGAAATCGCATCAATCGCTTGGGCGAAGGCTCTTTTGTCGATCTTACCGTTTTATCACGTCTCTATCTGTCACGCAATCACATCACCGAGATATTCGCCGGTGCTTTCCAAGGAGTACCAGCCCTCAAGTCCATGGACCTGAATCATAATCTGATTTATCGCATTCATCCGGAATTCTTTCCGCAACGAATAGGAAACGCGTTGGAGGAAATATGGCTGATCAATAATGACCTTAGTCACGTAGCGGAGATACGATCGGTGCTTGAGGCTCTGCCAAGGCTGAAGTTCCTAGACGCCAGTCACAATCAGTTGGAGGAAATACCCTTCGGTGCTCTAAGAGGCCATCCCACTTTGGAAAGGCTTCATCTTAATCATAACAGGCTGGCATTTTTACAAAGAGAAACGTTCACGGCGATGCCAGCGCTGAGGGAACTCAGGCTGAAGAACAATTCCCTATCGAATCTACTGGAAACTCCCTTCTGGAATTTGCCAGCGTTAAAAGTAAAGTGTCTGTTAATTCTTTAAATATTAGTCATGAATTTTATACAATTATTTATTAATCTTCAGTAATTGATTAATTTCTAATTTAGCTTCGATTCTCTTTTAATCCTTAAATGTTGTTTTAATATGGCATATCCGGCTTTTTTTCCAATGCTTATATATAACTGTTTTTAAAATAAAGATACATTATACATTTGCTTGATATCGTTAAATTCTTTAATGTCTGACGTTTTTAAAAAGAAATTATAATGTGTTCATTTTTATAAAAGTTATAAGCAATCAAATTAGCCTGAATATGCCGTATTATAATGCCAATTTATCGACGTCTATGTAACACCGGTAATTTCAGGGTCTAGATTTATCAGAGAACTACTTTCGTCACATAGAACCACGCCTGTTTACTAATCTGCCAAATCTCAGGCGACTTGATCTTAGCGGTAACGCTATAGGACTCATCGAACCCGAGTCTTTTCTGGGCACACCGGTGCTGGAGCACGTCAATGTTTCCGGAAATGCCTTATCCGTCATTCATCCTTTAACCTTCCGACACCTGACAAACTTATACGAGTTGGACATCGGTTTGAATCGTATGCTGGAAGTAGTCCCTGGTCTGCCGAAAGACATCGAACATCTTCACATTCAAAAGAACCGTATTGTCGCTCTACCAACCGTGTCCTCTCAGAATCTAGCTCTACCTGCTCTACGATCGTTGGATTTAAGCTCGAATGGGATTGACAGAATTTCGCCTGATACTCTGGCTGACTTACCGAATTTGAAAAAATTGAATCTAAGCTACAACACCCTAAGACTTCTAGACGATGGCGTTTTCGACGGACTCATGGGATTGGAACAGCTAGACTTAAGATGCAACCGGCTGGTCACGTTACACGGCCGAAGTTTCCGACCATTAAAGTCGTTGATGGACGTGAATCTTCGGGGTAATCGAGTGGAGGTTCTGCGACCAGATATTTTTCAAGAGAACACGAGACTGCAAAGAATTGATTTGAGCAGAAATAATCTCGCACAAATACCTCATGCCACCTTTACTAATACCAGGTAATACAAGAAAATCAACAATTTTAATACATATAACACGATCTTTATAATAATATATATCTAATAAAATATATACTTGAACTTATAACTGAATGTGCAATTTATATATTATATGATATTTTCTTCTTGTTTTCATGTACAGGATGACAAAAAAATTTGTGTAATAAAGTTTTGTGTGTTTATTAAATTCACTCAGATAGCAAAGTAATATTATTTTTAATGTTAAAATGACAATAAATGACAGCTTACTACCTGAGTAGTAGTGTAATTTAAGATTTTTTTTGTAAATATTATTAATGAAATTGTCAAACACATTTGTGACCAAACTTTTTTGTCATCCTTTATATGTATTAAACAATTAAATCATGTGCATAGAAAGTATCAAAATTCACTATACGTTTTTAACTACCAAAACTTTATAATGTATCACGTTTATGATAATAGAATCAATTTTTTCCTTCTTTTGTATATTGTATACCTCGCAGTTTCGTATTATAGTGGAAAAATAGTTTCACTCGTAGTTACGTAGTTGCATCACTCTTTTGGTACCTAGAAAGTTCTTCGTGCACACGTTAATATCTCTTTCTTAACGTTGTATAGCATCGGCCTGGCGCGTCGACTAATTTGACAGTAATCTGACATTGGATTTTATACGCGATTTTATTTAATCTCATCCATCAAGTTAACTTGATCACGTCGAACAAACACAAAGTATTCCAAAAGATATGAATTAATCTAATGCAAAAGATATATGCTTTAATTAAATCTAAATTTGAAATGCAAATTAGGCATTTTCTAATGATGATTAATGACATCATAGTTTTCTCCTAGATTTAGCAGATCTATTAATATCCAAGCCATGTTATATACATATAAATTTACGATTAAATTTGAATTGATAAATTCATAATAAATGATTCAAATATGCTTTTGTTTAAAATGTTATAAATAATGCCATAAAAGAAATTAAAAGGAAGTTCCGATCTTTCGTACATTTTTCGTACTTTTACTCTGAGAAAAGATTTGTTTAAATATCCCACTCCCCCAAAATGATAACATCACTGTCAATTACAGAGACCTTCGTGAACTGTACGCGTCGCACAATACTTTGACCGAGTTACCCGGATCGCTGCACGGGTTAACGGCTCTACGGGTCCTCGATTTGAGCTTCAACAAGCTGAACATCCTATCTCCGGAAACGTTAAGCAGCCTATCGTCCTTGTTGGAGTTGAAACTGGTTAGAAATCATATACGTGAGCTGCGGGAAGGTGCGTTCGATGGATTACCGCGACTATCCCTGATCGATCTGGAAAACAATGATCTCAGGGTGATCGAAAGAAACGCAATCAGAGCGTTACCGGAGTTGCAGGCCGTCCGACTCGGCAGAAATCGATTACAGGTAATAATATAGTTTCACGATCAATCACAATTGTAGAATAAGTCATTTCAGATTAGTATTAAAGATGCTTTAAACAGTTTAGACAAAGCATCTTTGTTGTACATTTTATCAAATACAAGTGGAGAGTTTCAAAAGCTGTTATAATACAAAAATTTCAGAATGTATTAAAAATTCATACTACGCGTTATTATTTAATTTCTATATTTAATAAGTTTTATAAATATATTAAGCTAATAAATGGAGATCTAATGTAATGTACATGATTTTGTAGTCCATCCCCAGTGGCACTTTCACCGAATTACCGCTGCTACAGAGCGCGGAACTTCAGGAGAATCTGATCCAGGAAATCGCTAGTAATGCCTTCATTAACGTACCACACTTACTTTTCCTTAATCTAAGTCACAATCACCTACCGGACTTGGAGTACGTCGGTCTGGAGAGCCTTCACTCGTTAGAGGTTCTTGATCTCAGTTACAATCGATTATCCAGAGTTTCTAGCGAGAGTCTAGCAGCTATGGAGTGGCTGGTGGAACTAAAGGTATTATAGCGAAAATTTCAGAGTTTTATGAGATTTTAAAAGATAAGAATATTATGCGCGTTTTCATATCATTTAAGTATTTTTTTGCATCGTGGTCAGAAATTGAAAACAATTGCAGTACAATTTATGAACAATTTATCCGAATTAATTTGCAAAATATCACGTATAAAACAACGAGAGTCTTCGCTAATAAGAATACTTTCTCGTCGAGAGTGAAACTCCTGCGTGAACCGTGGTGCGAGACGAACCGTTCTGCTGGCGGAGCAATTATTCGTATACCTGCATCGTTAATTAGGGATGCTAAACCACTTTACATAGCCGCCTTACAGTTGTTCTCCTTTCTGCTTACAGATGGACAACAATCGGATTTGCGCCGTGCACGGTTCACCTTTCGATGATATGCCCAGATTGCGGGTATTGAGTCTGCGAAGCAATCGAATGACTGCGGTCTCCGAAAACACTTTTAAAAGGCTGCGATCGAACATCGCTGTCTTAGATATCGACGGTAATTGATAGTATCGATTAAATTAATGAAAATTATATAAAAAGTCATATTTAATTCTTCGGAACTAATGGATCTATTGAACCAATTATAAATTTCTTTGATAAAAATATCATACAATTCAATTTTCTTTGTATATCAAATTTGGATTACTTTTATTTAAATATACTTAGTATTCATTCTTTTTTATATGAGTTATATCATTATGGTTCCTTCCGTGAAACGCAAACTAATAGTAACATTACATCATTATAATTTCTTACTTAATAATATGAATGTACATACCTAACGTAATATATACATGTTGTATATAACAGTTACATTATTGAGTAGAAAATTATAACATTGATGTAACATTGATTATTATTATTAATTTGTTTCTGCGGATTGCAATTATAATTAAGTAATACCTTTTAACATGAATTAAAATAGATCTTATAGACGTAGCATCAATAACTGTTACAGATTTTTGCGACAACTCCGAAGAATTAAATCAATTGACGTCAGAATGAAATAATAATTCACGTTAATTTCTTTTATTAAAATCATCTGTTGATAGCTGCAAAAGTAAAATTTTTTATATTTATATTTTCTCTCATTTCTGAGAAAGGAAATCCACTGTCCTGTTCTTGCGGTATGCTTTGGCTGCGAGGATGGCTACAGCAGGCTTCCACAGAGGGTCCTAGATGCGCTGACGGCTCTCTTTTCAAAGAACTCAGATTATCGCGACAGGATTGCCAGCGTGAGAGATATGTGGAACCGATTCATCCAGGATGCGAGGCTGAAATGATTAATGTTGCGACTCCTTCAGTTTCTTCATCTGGTAAATAATTACGAGTGATCTAAATAAAATAAATTAATTAACAGCCCAAAGACATAAATTTTTTATTACTAGTGAATTAAATATTATATTATTTTTTAATTATATTTTATTTTTTATAAAAAAATTCTTTCAAAAGTAAATGGCACTTGAATTATATATACTTGGAATTTATAAATCCAAAAGAAAAAAATATATATATATAATTCTGGCAAACAAATTATGTTATATTATTGTTTATTAAACTACATTAAAAATTGTCAGCATTTGGGATTACAGAGACAATACCATTGTGGATGAATCTAAAGGATTTTTCGACGCAAAAGCCTTCCGTTTCCCAAGATTCTGATTACTTGTACCAATACATAGATTATCAGGACATGAACGAAAGCGACACAAGTACGTTGCTGCCCAGCGTGTCTACTACTATTAGTGCACCTACCCAGACAGTGAAGATCATTCATCCATCACAGAAACCTCAAGTACAGAAGAACACCACGTCATCAATAAAGAAAAATCCTGTGCCACCGTCACCCAGCAGTTCCGGCTTCACCTTTTTCGGTCTACCGATTGGTCTACCGAATTTGAACTTCAATCTGTGGGGACATTCGGCCAGAAAGGCAGAGAGAAAGGAATCCTCATCGGAATCATCGTCGTCGTCGGATAGACCCGGCCGAGGACGTTACAGATCTTTTCCACCCACGGAACCAGAAATTCATAGAGGTGGTTTCGTGCCTCTACCGCGCAGCCAAAGCGGTTTCGTGCCGATCGCCGATCCTAGATTGACATATGAGAAACACGCAAAGCATGAAAATACTTCAAGATCGTTGAATGTAAGCAATACATCGGTACAAGAACGTTCTGTTCTTCGAAAAAGCGGAAATAGCACAGTGACCAAGGTGGAAAAAATTGTCCCCAGAACCGGGAAACCGCGGATAAGCTTCCGAGAAAAAGAAGACCTACCCACTACATCGACAGTCATTCGATCAACGAGTTTTGAGTCTCGCAAAATTTTGTCCAACGTCAATAGAATCAGGTGGTTCAAATTATTCTTTTTTTTTTTCGATACAACCCTCTAAATTTAACATCTCAGCAAACAATTAAGCTATTATTATATGTCACTGTTTGAACATCAAAATGTCTTCAATGTTTAACGTTAAAATTCGATGATAAATAACATCAGCTTGTTTTCTAGGAAGAGCTTGAGATAAGACATATTTTCCAGATTTTTTAATTAAGACAAAAAATTTTTTTATAATCCTAATAAAAAATAAAGTTCATATGTAGTATTTTTTTAATTTAATTAAGACGATTTAGAGATTTCAAAAAATGGTATTTTAAACTGCTTTAAATCTAATGCTGTTATACCGATACTTACATTCAGCTAACCCTTTAAACTTTTTTTTAGCCTTAATGCATCAAACGCAGTGAAAAATAGCGTGCCAATAATCGTAGAGGAAGACTCATCGCAAGAAGCTCACGAAACATCAGTGTCCACCGAAATTTATGACGGCGAAAGTTTAGAAGTAAATACGGAAGACATTAAATTCATAGAGAAGCCGCAGATGGAAGTCGCTAACAAAATAGTTTGGACCACACCAAAATCAGTAACAACGGAAACGAAAAAAATTACAATTACTAAGGAAACTGTAACTGCAGCGGTGGAGGTAGCACCGTCAAAAGAAGACGGATCTAAAGATTGGAATTTAGAAATATCTGAACATGAAAGTGATCCAACTGTTTTAAACAGTACAGTTAACTCCCATGAGAAACCTGGTAAGTTTATATTTAAATAAAAAAAAATTAATAATGAAATTTAACTGTTTAACTGTTCTTGCTTGGAACTTTAAACTGTTCCACATGCGCACATTTTATTATGAGATTTCTTCACCCTCGTTGTCAGATATGTAATTAAGTTTCTATTAAAGTAAACTATTTTTAATTAATTGAAAGCTGATTTCATTGTTGGTTTAACTGTTAAAATTTAATTTGTCAAGAAAGTTAAATTTTTCGTATCATAGTCCAGATAAAATATCTAATAAAAAAATATTGTTTTATTTACTGCAGACCATTTGGATATTGTGACAGAAACGGATGCAGAACCGATTTCGCACTTCTCAGCACCCTTAACGTCCTCTACATCGAATCCACGGCCCAAAGAAACAACTATGACTTCTCGAGGAACGGAGGCATCTGCTTTGTCCGCGCTTCTGATTCCGGGCGGACTAGTACCGTCTTTAGGATCCGTAAATTTACGTCCGCTTGGTAGATCTACAATAACCAAGGTCGCTTCGCCGTACATCAGCTACAGTACCGAACAATCCAAAGAGAAACAGAAGTTGATCGCCAGCGCTGTTCAGAGAAGCGAGATTGACAAGACGACGACCGAAAACCAGAACGATGTGTTCGTCATCGACGATGAAGCCAAAGTAATAGACAACGGTCCTTTCAATTGGTACTTCCAGCATTATAATGACACAAATGTAGGGCCTTATGTAGGCATAGCTTACAGCAGTGCTGCGAAGATCGATATCTATCGATGGTTTCTTTTGCTTGTGGTTTTCAGTATTCTGATATAAAGATTTGGAGATTAGATCATTTTTTCACAGACAAATTAATCGTTGTATCATACGAGATAAAATATACTGTAACATTTGTTAATAAATGCTGTGGTGAATGTTCCAAATCATAAATCATACATATTCAATCATATTATGTATACAATGCAAGAAATTTGTAAACATCTATATTCCGCCCGAAACATGTACAAGAATTAAGATCATGCGTATACATATCTGCTTTTTTTGTATAGATATTCTTTTGATAAAAAGTATAAATAGAAAATGTTTCAATATCAATGATAAATTAATAAAACGATATATATATATATATATATATAATTGTAAGATTATTTTTATTAATGTAATATTTTCTCTTAATAGAATGACTTGCATTTCCTAAAAATACATGATCTATATCTATCACACATGTTAATTGAAACTTAAATTTTAAGCGATACGCTTAAGGCAGTTTAAAAGAATACACATTGACTGCTTGTTACTTGTTAATTAATGGATGAAATCGAGAAAATAAATAACTGTGCTTCGTATAGAATACTATCATTTATATTAACGGATTGTTAATTAAAACACTGAAAATATTATAATGATTACAATATTTTGTAAAAATGTCTTAATCCTAAATTTTTCGATATATTTACTACATCATTTATTACATTCAAAATACAGAAGTGTTGAGTTATTTTTTTTTCTTGCGCCTAATATATTAAAAACTCACAAAATTATGCCAGAACAATTCAGGAACCAATTTGCTGTTTCTAATACATTTAAATTGTTATTTTTTGTAAGTGGGATATCATTCTGTACAAATAGTGAACAGACTTGACTATTACACACAAAGTTATTAATTGTCTTCAACTTTAACAGTCTCAACTGGAGCAAGCTCAGAAATTCCCTGATCACTGACTTTTAGCTTTTGCTTTTTCCTCACCTTTCTTCTCCTCTTCTTTCTTTTCTTCCTTCTTAGTATCCTTCTTTCCATCTGTTTCTTTTTTCTCAGCGTCACGATTGGTTAGCTTATTGTTAATTAAATTGTGCAATGCAACTATAGACCTAACTAATGCTGCTAGATATACAACCAGCATCTGATCATTTGTCTTTACATATAACGAATCGACGAAGCTACTTTGAGTCATATCTGGTAATAAATTAAAGATATCTTGAAGCTGATAAACAATTTGATGATTTATAGGTAATTTTCCATTGCCAACCTAGAAAAAAAAATTTAATTGAATAAACCTTTCGACAATATTAATATAAAAAGTGATTTCTATCAAAGAGTGTATACCTGAAGCAGATAATCTCTAATTTCTCGAATTTGTTCGTGAAGTCCTTTCAAGCCAAGTAATTGATTTGTGATTCTTTGACTGAGGGTACCAACTGTAGTATCTTTGATATCTCGCAATAAATGCTCCACTCCTACCTCTTCTGCTTCTTCAGCTCCAATTTCGCTTGGAATATGCTCGAAAGTTTTAGAGGTAGGAGAACCATCCTACAAAAAAATTCTTGTTACATGTTCATTTTTTTTAAACAGACAGTAGATAATATAATATATAGACATACATCATGTACTTCTTCAACTGCTTGATACGCCTCGGTAGGAAGTCCAAGATCTTTTGGTTTGGCATCGATAATCACTAAAACCGAATTAGGACAATATCTTCTTATTAGTTCATTGATGGCAACGTCATTTTGATGTAGCTTAGGCCCAGTGTGATACCAGCCTACTACCTTCTCGCGAGCTAAGAATCAACATAAAATATCACAATCAGAATTTTTGCTCCAAATAAAACCAACAGGATTTGCACGAACTATACATAGATCTTTACCATTAACTTTCTTGAACATTCCGTACATATTTTCAAGATAATCATGGTCAAGGAACCATACACTTTTGTCCTTGTCGTCCTCATCAAAGGGTACTGAAACACACATTTATCTGATTTATCTCTTTATATTGCATTTAGCTCCAAAGATAAGGACATTTATTTCTTGTGCATTTAGGCGCATTAATGAAAGCAGAACAGCTTGACTTCAAATACGAACGATTTAAGAAAGATCATAACGTGTTTACATCCTAACCTGCAAAGCTGTTCGACACGTCCAAGATTCCCTTGGCTCTCCAGCAGCCCAGGAGTACACCGACCACTCTTTTTTGATTTCCGATTTTTCCCATGCGATTAAAGTGGTCCACCACGCTTAATAGCACCAGCGGATGGACTACAACTTTCGTTGTTGCAACCTCTTGACTCGGCATTTTTGGATAAACCCACAACAATGTATACCGCTATACTAACTGACACTCAGAACCTCAGACACTGTTCCATTACTCCAACAGCCAAGGATTATTCGGAAATAACAAGAATGGCGTGTTGTATGTCAAGTGATGTCAAGCTCGTCGAAGCGCCATACACAGCGAGAGAAAAAAACACTAATATTTATATTTTGTATGATATAAAATAATTGAAGGTAATTCTACATTTTAAAAATGAAATATTACGTTATATTTATATTATTTTCTATTATAAATAATGGCTATTTCCTATTTGGTTTAGTGAACAAGGATGATGTGCTTTTGACGATTCATCCGAGTGAAGTTGGCCAGCTTGATCGAAAAAAAACGATATTTGACGCATCGACCATCGACAGTCGACGAGTCGACTACAGTGGTTTTGTTGGTTAGAAGCGACTACAGATTTTAACGTAAAAATACTTAAATTAAAAAGGTAATAAGTTTATTTCAGCATCAGAAGTATGCCTAATAAAAGTAGTTTGCATGACGTTTACATTATTTTGAAAACAATTCGTGATAATAGAAATCTAGCATGCCAAGCATACATAACCAATGCAAAACGCATACTTCTGCACTGAACTGCACTGAATAATTCACTCCAAGAGCTGCCAACTTGAAAGATGTAAAAAGCGCGAGATCAGGAGAAAAATAAACAAAGATTTAATTTACAATAAAATTATATAACAAATAAATAAATGAGATCTTATTCTAACGTAAATTGATTAAAGCTATTCTATAAGTTTTTTCGGAAATTGTAGAATGAAAAATCTTCGAATATTTTAAAACTCACGTACTTAATCCAGACAGACAATATTTATAAAATATTTACAAATCCAGTAAACGAGAATGGATTCAAATTGATTGAAATGGATTCTCAGCATTTCTAAAGTGTTCCAATTCGTATTAAAAAATTTGAGAATTTTCTAAAAAATTATAAAATTATATAAAGCTTTTGAAAAATTTTTAGAAATCTAAAAAATTATATGAAAAATTCTAAGAAACATTTTCGCCAGAAATATTTTTAATTTAGAAGTTAGAAATCCAATATAAAATATTGTATCTTTTATCAAATATTCTGCAAAGAATAGTTAAATTAAAACAGTTAATTGATTTATATTCTTTATGATTTAAAGCATTTTGAATTATACTAAACAGGAAAATCTGCATGAGAATATATATTTTTTTAATTATACCATTTTGTAATAATTCATCGAGTTTTATATTACAGATAAAGAAATTGTAGTTTGAACTATTTTTTTTTACAGAATTTGGTATGATATATTGATTTGCAGTATTATGTTGTCAGTCGGAGCAAAGTTAATCCTAGAGTAGGAAAGGATTTTTTCCAATGATGTAACATCTACTAAAGAAATTAAAAAATTTTAAATAATATACGCCATACTTAATGTGTCTTTTGTTGCAGAATGTCGCTACCCATAGTGTTCGTGACGGGCAACGCGAAGAAGCTGGAAGAATTCATCGCTATTTTGGGAAAAGAGTTTCCTCGACGGATAACGAGCAAGAAAATCGATCTGCCTGAATATCAGGGCGAAGTAGACGATATATGTCGAGACAAATGTCGGGCCGCAGCAAATCTAGTGAAGGGCCCAGTGATCATCGAAGATACATGTCTCTGCTTCAACGCGCTGAAGGGTCTACCGGGACCTTACATCAAATGGTTCCTCGAGAAATTGGGCCCTGAAGGTCTTCATAGAATGCTCTATGGATTTGAGGACAAATCGGCGGAGGCGGTCTGCACATTCGGTTATTGTTCTGGTGAAGACTCTGAAGTCCATCTATTTCAAGGTCGAACTCAAGGCACTATTGTAAGTCCGCGAGGTTCCAGGGATTTCGGCTGGGACCCTTGTTTTCAGCCGCTGGACTACGATAAAACCTACGCGGAACTGCTGAAAGAAGAGAAGAATAAGATTTCTCACCGCAGTAGGGCAATAGAAAAATTAAAAGATTATTTGTTAAACAATAAGAATATTTAATTTCGCAGTATATAATAAAATTACTGTTATAAAGGAAACTACTATAATGTAAGCTTTATTTTTTCTACACTAGAATGTAAAAAACACTCCAGGTGATTGTTCTTGGTTAATTATATTTTAGACGTACTTTGTAGGTATTTATGTTTCCTATAAAATTCGTTTATACTAATTTATTAAAACCGAGATAATTTATATTAATGCAACTATGTTTACGATTCTTCTTAATCCTGGAGAGCGGCGAGTAAGCGTTGTTTTGTCTTCACTTTGTGAATTGTAATTTACACTGTGACCTATAATATAATAATGTTAACGTTCGATATCCGTTCAATTTATCAAAGGTGATTCTTTGCCGAAAACAAGCATTTCGATGTCTTGGCATAGCGATAGCCGTTGGATAGCATATGGAATGATTTGTCGACAACCTTGAAGCTACTGTGAAATTAAACTCATTATTGTAAGACTTTCTCACAACTGAAAATCTGATAACTTTAATATCGATATGTCGCATGAATGTGTTAATCAATTACTTTCCCCTGGCAAATCTTACGTGATGCAACAAATTGAAACATGAAATCATACTTTTTTTTAATCATTTGGTGGTTGATATTGTTAATCATGTAAACCGATACTTTTAGTACGCAAGCACTCATGATTAAAACTATAAATCATGTAAAATAATAACTATGATGGATTACCGCCCACACTGTCTAATTACTTTTATTTACCAATAACGCGATTACATACATTATGTGAGTGATAAACTATAAATTGGTTACTGTGAGGTGGTACCATAATATGAAACTAAATGAAATTTAAATATGCCAGTTGAACATTCAAAAATGACACTTCTCTAAAATAAAATATAAGAAAAATATAATTTTGTACATTTTTTAATTGTATACAAAATTAATAAAAGTATATAATAGTATTACATATAGATTTTATAATATTATATGTCACTTAAAAATTTTATTTGATGCAGCGAAAAGGCCAGTATTTTTAGTCGATTCTTATATTTAAAATTGTTTTAAATATAAATTTTAGATATCATGAATCAAACAGAGTTTATCAGAGAGAGTTAGCATCTTAAGACATTACTTAAAACGGCTTTAAAATAAAAACGGAGTACAAATATTAGCCTAAGAAAATACATTTGAATTCAATCAGAAGAGAATGCTATATTACATTCATCTTCAGCATAAAAATAAAATCATTCTATATATATATATATATAATTATTGTCTAAAAATAATTATTTAGAAATATAAAATTGTATAGATAAAAATTATATATGATAATACAAAATATCTCATAACTATATCAGATGTCTTTAATGACAAATTTTTTGGCCAATTTAAAGTCAATTTCCTTAGCGAAAATATCGAAGTATTAATTTTCGAAAGATATAAGAAATTAGACAAGGGACTTATACTTCACAAATTAACTTTAAAGAGTCAAATAAATATTACATTCTTCATTAATACCAGATAAAGTTTGCTTTTCAATTAACTTTAATTCGATGCATAATTACAAAGTATATGATATAAAAAATCAGAAAGTTACAATAAATTGTGACCTCTCGATATTTTTATACAGGAAAAGTCGAGTCCAAAGAATCTGTCAATCTATCAATAAAAGGACATTCGGTCGTTCAAAAAGACAATCAGTATAACAGCGAAACAACAGATAAATATACATGTTGGTGTGTTATTATTACGTAAAAACGGTGGTAAACAGGCAATCATTTTTTGCTTTTTATCAAACTGTCAATGATTATTTAATTTATGCGATCAATGAAAAAATTGTTCAATTATCTTTGCGGCTATAATTACTCGTGATTATCTTAAATAATTAAACATATTATAAAAAGACAAGCGAGAGAACTACTAAATAGCTTTGCTACAACATGAAATGCATTAAGTAATAAAAAAATTTAACTTTAATGATTGATAAATAGAGAAACAAGCAAATTGCTTATTAGTTTCTACTACAATAAATACATCTTTTGGACATATCTGAGAAGGGGGAGGTTCAAACTTTCCCGAAATTTTTTCATTATTAATCATAAAAAAAGTAACTTTTTTACTCTGAGTAAATTTTTTATCATTACATAAAATTTTGTTTTTCTTATCGTTATGTTCATGTAAATCATGTATATTTGAAACTTCCACTAGTTAGAGCTTTAACTTTGACAAAGTGTCCGATTTTCATGAAGAAAATTTTTGCAAGGTTTTTAAGTAAAATAGAATATGCACTAAAATATTAATGAGTACTCCATTCACAATTATATATTTCGTTTTTAATAAAACTGTATTTTATCTATACTTTTTTCAGGGAAAAAAATAAATGTTGTGATTTATAAAACTTAATATTTTTCTTGTTCAAAAGCAAGAACAAGAAGATATTCTATGCTTAAAATATCAAAAAAGCAATTTAATGATGCAAAAAATTGCTGTTTACGTGATAATAAAATTAATAAAAAGTCATTTCTGAAAAAATCCTAGTTACGTCCATGCACTATCTTTTTTAAATTTTTTATCTAATATTATATCCTTTTTATTATTTCTATGCTAACGATCACACAGTAGATTCTTTTACATAAAATTATAGTGTCATTCCTTTAGTGAATTATATCAAAATTAATAATACGCTTTCTGTATAATCCGCTCATATTGATCTTACCAAAGATTTTTCTATCGAGCTATTTCTTCTATAGCAACCGCTATTTCTTCTAGCACTTTTGTCCCGGCTATTTGCATCTCGTTTTCGCAAAATCGACCTCTTACAAAATTGATGCTCTTTCCAATACTCCTCATTCTGTTTACAGACTCATTGCTTTTATCTGATTTTTTATCTCACCGTCAAAATGCCGGTCACTCGGATTGCAGAAGTATTTGACAATTATTCTTTTCCGGTGCATACAAATCACTGGCGAGCAGTGGTGCGATTACGTATAGCGTGTACACAAAGATAAAATCGCGAATTGCATATGTAATTTAGACAGACAGAAACGAAGTTTTTCTTGGT